AACTTCTGATTATGGAGCTGGCTGATTCCCTACTCGTTATGTGTATTATACACATCAATTTAACAGCAAAGTTATACCCTAGGCAGGTCAATATAATAAAAAAATGAAACACATTAGCTAAGCTCTCCAAATCAGCTCTTCTAGTAGAAAATGCTAACTTGAATCACATGAATCACCTACTGTCACTTGACTATATGTCAAATTTTTTAAAGAGTTTTGAATTAGTTTTAATCAAAATAGTAGCTACATTTAGGTTTCCAGTACAGCCAGTCCCTTTCATCATTTTTTCAAGAAAATTCTTCTTTTGGGGATGAAAAATCAGCCTTTTCTAAGCACTGATGGCAATTTTTGTGAAGCAGCAGTGACTTGGGAAGAGTCATTATATTTGATTTTAGTTATGAGACAATGAAAAATACCCAGCCTTAAAGTCTATTTCTGAAGCAAGGGAAGTCCACCGTGTTAAAGGGGACCTGTGCCACTACAGCAAGATATACCATATGCCTAAATCTTCATAATGTATCACTTGATCCCACACAGACAATAGCTGCAGGTCTTCATATGTCTTTTGGATTATATACTATTAATGTGGATTACTTCAAGATATAGGATCTGCCACATGACCTCCTATATCAGGGAGATATTACATAGCAAATACTGTTTATTCAAAATGTTTTGGGAACAGCTGAAGCATTCTAGGAAGTTGGGTTTTGGGATTCTACTGTATCAGAATATAGAGAACACAGGCAGAATGTGTTAAATGGAGAAGAGGTATACACTTAAAAAAAATCTGTCTTTTGTAAGAAATTTTGAAGCCAAATTTAACATAAAGAGTCCTTGAATTCAAAGATTTTTAGTTACTTACTTGAGCAAATGTATCCAGCTAGTTTTTCAGCATTTCCACACTTCTCTCCTTGTGGGGCAAGGCCAATTTCTTCCACTTAAAGAAAAAGCAGCAACGTCATATATTGTTTGACAGAATGAAAACAAGTTCCAGTTAGTTGTGTCACAAACATCTGAATTGAAATTGGAGACCCAGCTTAATCTGTCTTTTATAGAAATCTTTTTAGGTTTTCTTGGAGCCCTTTGTAAAGCCATGTGCTTTCTAAGGATGTGATCCTAGATAATGCAGAAAGACATGCATAAGGAAAGCAATATGGAAGGAGTAGAGGACATCTGACCTCACTCCTGCAGACTGTTCATAGAGCAGCATGACACTAAATCTATACGGAGAGAAGATACAACGGTTGGTACACTGTGCTGAACTGGCTGCACTCCTGGCACATGGTGCTGTTACACCCGTGTTCTTGCTGAGTATGTGTACATAGATCAGTGAGCATGAACTCACTTGTGATAAAGGATCAAAACTGCTGTGAAAATCCACAATTACAATAATCTTGAATTTAGTATGAAGGCACGGAAGGGGGAATTGCCAAGAAGTTAACAAATTAGCATTGGACTTGATTGATGCAAGCCTCCTTTCAGCTCAGTGAGGGCCAACCTTTTTGGCAGACATGCTACAAATTAACTCCACACTCTCCCCAAGCACCACTCCAATCTCCTGCCCCAGATGGATTGGCTACTCTGCTTTCTGTCCTATCCGCTGCTATGCTGCCTGTCCCCTCCCTGCTTTGCCACATGCCACACACCAGTTTTCTGCATCTCAGCCAGCTCTGGGAATTGTAACTTGTAGTGAACTTAACCTCTTCTTTATGTTTATAAATTAGATCCTTAATACCTTCCACACTAGGAAACTATTCAGGAATCAATTTTATCAGCCTTTAAATAGATCCATATTTTCTAAATACTACTAAATGTCTTAGGTCATGTACACAAATGTAAAATACCTGCTACAAAATTAAATGAACTTTTGGCTCTGTTTAGTGGTATTTACCCATATGTATTGAGGGGTAAACACTATACACAGCAGTGAGGTCTTGCTCACCCACATGGGTCTGAAACTTTATACATGCAATTGCAAACCATTTTTGCAAGGAATTGGAATACTTACTCAAGCCACATACTCAAACCAAAAATGGTGGAATAAGCAATGACAGATATGCAAGTGATTACATCACATTTAATTTAAACCTTGCCTGTTTGTGATTAATTAATTTTAAAATGAATTAAAATGTGGCAAATTAGTAGAAGAAAAAACAAACTCTAAACACAGCATTGTTTTATCCAGTGACACCCCAACTAAATACCTAATGTAATATAAATCTACAAATCCAAATACAGAAAAATGAAAAATTGCAGGTAGAGTAATGGTAGCAGCAAAACCAATAATCAAATTTTGCTTCCAGTCATTTTATAGGTCTATGTTACATGGTGTTTGATGTATTATCCCAGGACTGTCCAACTGGTGGCCTGCAGGTGGTGTGACCACCTTTCCAAAATGGAAAGGTGGGACACATGGCCACCTCCCATGCGCCCCTTCCCCCCCAGAGCTGCATGGCCGAAGCAGAGTCAAGTGGAGCCCATGGGGGTGGGGGCAAATGCAGGCTGCCCGCTGCGAGCCTCAAGCCTCCCCTTCTGCCAAGAGCCCCATGTCAGCATGGCAAGGTACCCCCTGTCCACCAGACAGCAGCAGGGGCAGCGGAGTTGTGCCCCCCACACTGCTGCTGGGTGGGGAAGGGATGCCTCACCATGGTGGCAGGGCTGGCATGGGGCTCTTGGCAGAAAGGCAGCAGGACAGGGGGCCCTGAGCCCCACAGCAGGCAGCCTGCACCCACTTCTGCTCTGAACACAAGTCGGGGGGGGGAGCATATGACCCCCCCCTCCCATACCCTCTTCCCTGGGACTGCATGCAGTTGTGGGGAGTCAGCTCCCCCACCGCCCCCTGGAAGACCCGGCTGTGGCTCCATCCTGCTTCCCAGGTGGCCCCACAGCCATGCATTCCTACCCCAGCCCTGGGTACCATGCACTGCCCCACTGGGCAACACCCCAGTCCCAGCCCCATTCCCTCCATTCAGACTGGGACCAGGACTTGAAGTTCACATTGTGGGACTGTCCCGCCCAATTACGGATGCGTGGTCACCCTATCTGCAGGCTACATGCAAACTATGAGGAGTTAAGTTGCAGCCCCTGGGCTTCTACCATGCTGCTGTTTCTCCCATTGCTCCAGCTGCAACAGCAGCCAGAATCAGGCTCCCCCTCCCTCCTCCAGCTGCCCCTTCCTACCCTTGCCTTCAGGGGTGGGGCAGTGCAGCACAGTACAGGGAGCTGAGGGTGAGTCCAGGCTCCGCAGGGGGAGGCAGGGAGAGACTATGCCCACGTGGGACAGCAGTGAGGGAAGGAGAATGTCCATGAGTGTGCACACTGCATAGGGAGTGCAGAGGAGGGGGAGGGAACTGTGCCGGTGCAGTGCAGCAGTGAGGGAGTGGGGAGGGGGTACCTGCATGAGTGCAGATCAGGGGGTGGGGGAGGCATCCATGCGACATATGGCCTGGTGGGCAGTGGCTTGCCTGATGAGGCCTATATGGTATGTGGCTGCTGCTGGTATGGCCCCCAGGGCTTTGAAGATTGTGCCCCCAGGACTAAAAAGTTGGACAGCCCTGTATTACATTAATAGCCTAAGTTCAGAATAGTAAGACTCATTTAGATCAGACTTAAAGCATTAAAGTCAGTGCACGAGGGTGTAAAAAAACAGTACGTCTAAAATCTACTTACAATAGTCAAAATTAATTCAGTTAATCATACAGGGAACATGAGTCACCATTTATGAAGTATAGGCTAGGGGCAGACATTACACATAAACCAGTTTAAGTGATCAGAAACTGGTTTAAACCCACAACAGAACAGAGGTTCAGTGCACACAAACTGGTTTAAAAATGGCTGAAACTGGTTTGAGATAAACCTGGTTGAATGTAGTATCAGTCCTAACTGATTTGGATCAAACTAGTTTATGCAATGTCTGTCCCAGACTCCTCCTTCCTGGTTTAAGTTAAACCAGACTCCCCCAGCATCCTGGCATGCTCTCTGGACTCGGCAGGGATCTCTTCTCCACAGTAGAGCTGGCCCCTCGCCTCTGCTCCCTGGCTGGAGCTCCAGCAGAGACTGCAGGCATCTGCCTGTCTTCCCTCTGCTCCCCCCATCCCCTCACCACTCCCTGCTAAGCAGGGACTTCCCTGTCCCCTCTGCCTTAAACAAATACCTCTCTAGCTGCAGACCACATGCTGGCTATGGTCTGTGCTGTGGCAGATGGGACAAAGGCAGAATCAACAGGTAGCTGGTAATGTCCCTTTGTTGTTTTTTTAATGGGCTGATAAACACTGAGTTAGGGATGATAAACACTGTGTTATCAAGTCCATGCTGGGCTGGTCAGGAGGTGGGGAAGAACCCTTCTCTAATCAGAGCATCCTGCTGGGGCCTGGCCATGTCCCCCTCAGCTCAGCAGTGTGGAAGGGAAAGGAGGAGTGCTCTAGTGCCCCGGCTTCTAGCCTGAGCCACTGCAGGCCTGTGCCTGCATTTCTTCAGTCCAGAGGGGATGTCTTTACGGTTACAAATTGATTCAGCCTAGCCAGGTTAGACTAACCTGCAAAGATTGAATCAATTCAGACTCAGGCTTTTTGAATGTCTGTCTATAGCCATAAAGATTAAGTAAGTAAATAAAACAATGATAATACTGAAAAAATGAGCATATTTCAATTCAGGGCCAGCCTTAGGGAAAATGGCACCCTGGGTGAGGTTGTATTTTGGCACCTCCCTTCTTCACCCCCAAGCCTGTGGCGCTGCAACAGGCAGAGGCAAAGGCAGGTGGGCAGGAGTGCACAGTACAGTCTGACAGGGAGGTGGAGTGGCATGGTGTGGCAGGCAGGCAGGCACCACTGCTGCTGTGTAAGGCAGGTGGACTAGAGCAGGTGCCACCTGCACATGCCCAACCTGGCTCCTCCTGAGCAGCAGCTGGAGGCAGGGGGCAGGCTGGGTTAGGCATCATTCCTTCTTCCTAGGATTGCTGGGGTGGGGTGAGGTGAGGGGAAGAGCACTGCTGTGAGCACAGGCTGCGCACGTGCGTTTGGCACCCCCCTGGGCAGTTGCCCACATTACCCACCCTTAAAGCCAGCTCTGCTCTAATTAAAAGAGCTATTAAGTAAGCTACATCGAGGTAGTAGCTCTGCTTTGATACATTTTTGGAATGTTCTTGCACCAAAAACCAAAAGGCAGACAAGCAGAATATGCAAAGGATTTCAAAAGAAGGTAGGATTCCTTGCTCACAGCTATACTGCGATATTTATACAGTGTAACTAAAACAACATATGAATGTTACATGCTGGCTCATCTATCCGTGCAGGTACTCGCTAAGCTTCTGTGTTTGGATCTAGACACTGGGTAATTTCTACTTTAATTCTACTTGGGTCTGAGTGGGATCTAAACATTTTCTCTTTCTTTGGCCTTTAAACCCTGGGCATATATTGAGAGACTGGCACCTCTACTGGAAGTCGGAATCCGACAGCCCAGCTGTCTTAGGCCTCAGTGCTCTTTACTAGCTGGATTACATGCTTTGCTCCCGCAGAGTTCCAGCCTTACGGGCATTCTGGTTTACAGTTTAACCCTTCAAAGGGATGTAATTATTGAAGTCAGGAAGAACAAAGTTTTGTGGAAAGATCCTTAAATTAATCACTGTTCACTTTAGATAGCATCAGAGATCTACAGATTCCAGCAGATTAAGAAACTCCTGAATCTCATTCCCTGTTTCAGTTTCCTCAGTACCCCTGAGCATTCTCTGGAATTTGGTCAGTGTACTTTTGGGCTTCCTGGTCCCTTTCCCTCTTCCAGCCAAGGCTTCTCTTTTTACTCTGTTTTGGTGAGAGACAATCTCCTGTTGTAACATGCAGTCCTGTCTATTAGGTGATCTCCCTCATCTGCCTCAAACCCTACCAGGCGATTAAGACTTCTGTCAGGTGATCCCTTGCTTGGCTACCTGGCCACCTCAGACAGCAGTCTTCCTTGGTAGCCAAAGGTACTTCCCAGTTGAATGTAAGGTCAAAGTTTAACAACCCTTGGCTAGTCCTCTCCTAGACACAGGAATTTCTCCTGACACATCCCATCTGACAAATCTGAGGCTACAAAGCAATTTTACAAACAAAATTGGCAACAAGCCAAAATAGAGGTTGATACAGATAGCTGCTGACATGTCTAAATCATCACAATCCTTTCCTAATCCTTTACTGGGTTAACAGAAACATGTGGTAAAATTCTGGCCCCTTGAAGTTACCAGGAATTTTACCACTGCTTTCAGCGGGCCCAGAATTACCTAGCACTGGAAAGATCCTCCTGGATCACTGAGTCTAGTACCCTGTTATCACAGTGAACTACATTCTATAATCCTTTACATAAGCTTTTGTTCTATTCATACCATACAGAAAAAGAGCTAGTTTGGTGGGATATTGGGGGGGGGGGGGGGGGTTTGGGGTTTGACCTCTCTTCATTACCATAGATATGAAGGTAATGCAATCACATTACAATAGAAAAAAAAGTGAATTCTAGAGTCAGATCCAGCTAGTGCAAGCTGGTATATCTTTGATGTATATAAAGCAAAGTTGCCTTTCTGGAAACAGGTTTAATTATTAAATAAGGCCTTATACACTTGTTGATACTTTTAACATTTTTAAACATTTTTTCACCTTAATACTTTTATGAATTGTACTGAAGATGTTGTTTTGTATAAGACTTTTTTGTTTAACATGGCTTACCTAGAGAAGCTGTGGCTTTTCCTACAACATATGTTGATTTTGCATTCCATTTCTGTTTCAGAGATTTTGTCCAGGCTGTAAAACATTAAATTATGTGCAAGTATTTGGCATTAAAGTATAAACATCAAAGTGAATATTTGGACTTCTATCCCAAAAGATTGCTTATATCTGTAGAAGCTTGAGAACAGCAAGATATTAATTACTAACACTACATTTGCTAGCATTTAAAATAAAGATTTTAAATCAGTTGTTTTGCTCACTGTAAAAACAACAGTCTATAACATGATTAAAAAACTTGGGTTGAACAAACAGTATTTCCAATTATGTCTGTTAAGCAGCATTTTTAATGCATGTTGCACAGTACCGCATCAACTGTAACTCATAATGCTCATTTATATTTTGGCATTCATTAGCAAAAAAAACCCCAAGTAAGACTTGCAGGCAAAAAGCATAAGGCAGCAGAATGTACAACTTAAAATGATAAACTGATGAATTTCATATCTAGGGCGGATACAGATTTAAAACTGAAGGTTTAACCAAGACTTAACAGAAGCTTGTATGCTAACCAATCAAACCAAATCAATCATAAGCTAAAATATGCTATTAAACAGTTCTTTTTTCATACATTCATAGATGTTAGGGTCGGAAGGGACCTCAATAGATCATCGAGTCCGACCCCCTGCATAGGCAG